CATTCCACTTCCTTTCCTTGAATCTCTGTCCTGTTTCCCTCTTCAGATGCTTCACATCTCAAACTTCTCTCCCTGACTTCATCATCCCTGGGGTTCTAAAGGCAAGGAAAAGGAAGAAGGGAGTAGATTGGATGCCGAATCAGCAGCAAATAACCATTCTGCTTTTGGCCCAGGGCAGAGGCACAGATGTCAACGCCATCTCACATTCTGCCTTCCTCTCTTAATGCAAAAAAAATGTTTCGCTTGACTTCCCATTACAATTGTGCTGATTCTAGATATGAAGAGCTGCAAATACTAAAGTGCCAGGGTAAACTAAAATCACTGGGTGCTGGAATTGGACCACTGAGGCTTGAGGACATCCCAAAAAAATTCTCTTTTTAGGCAAGGGTTCCAGAAAACTAAATATTTTGCCTCTTTTTGGTATATAATCTTCTAAAATAACTCTACCTTACATTTAGATAAAACGAACTTATACAATAATTATAACAGCCAACATCTGTTGAGACTTTACTATGTCAAGCATTGTGCTAGGTCCTTTACATGAATTATCTGATTTAAATTCCAAAACAATTTATTAAGTAAATACTGTAATCTCTATTTTCAGATAAGGAAATTGAGGCATACCAAGATTAACAGTAGAACTAGGATTCGAAACCATGTGGTCAGACTCCAAACCCACAATTTTAACTACAAATGCTATAATGCCTATCTTATAGAAAAATGAATAAAATGAAATGTTAAATTATAATGTTACAAAATAACTAAATACTCTTAGAAGGGATCTAAAGTAGAAAAGTCTTCTATCAAATTCGCTTTTATGTGAAGAGCAAAAGTGTGGTTTCAGTGTGTTTCTGTAGAAATCTGACTTCCTCTACGTACTAGAAGATTTTTCAAAGACCGAACTTGAGGCTGAGGTGTAAAGGCCAGACTTTGTTACCATCTATCCCGGACTTGGGATTCTGTAATACTAACTGCATAATTTTCTAAAGATTGTAGTTTCTAAGTGAGTACTAAGGGAGCAAATAAAAGCAAAATCATAGCATCAACTACCACTACATAGTATTTTAACAAAAATATAAATTTTGTCTACCCTGCTTCTGTGAATATTTTTCAGTCAGTATTTGTAGATGAGGGAGGAAATCGTCTCACATAACAGCAAATACATGTGTGTGTTTGGTGGTGGTGTTAGTGTTTCAGAACCTAGAAAAACATGAACAAATGAACGACTCATGAGTTACAAGTGAATAAATTAAGAATTAACACAGTTATGTGATGCAGAGTAGAGAAGAAAGGACCTATTCTATCTAAAGCCATCTTGTAGTGGGGGAGACAGCAGAGCAAATGAATGAACAGATCAACAATGTCTTCTAGAGAACAAAAGGAAATGTTTGCAAGGAGTAAAAGCTAAAAATAACTCTACTGCTTACTAATTTCCCGAAAGTCAGTCACGCTGTTTCTCTGTGTGCCTTTTGGGCAATATCATTTAAATATTTTTCAAATGAGGAGAACAACCAACCTACAAAATTCAAAAGCTCCAATTTCCAGCAAACAAATAAATTTTAAAGAGAAAGGAATCCACAGGCAGCCATCCCATCTGTGTCCACACAGAAACCATGGGCCAGTTAGTCTTAGGATCGAGCAGCCAATGGGGACCTGACCTGCAAAACAGCATGGCTGCTGAATTATACTCTTTGTTGATTAGCCAGCAAATATCACTCCCCAGTTTTAAAATATAAGTTCCAAAGAACCTTAAAAAGTACTTTATATAGTTTTCAATTGAAAGTGCTGAATATGATAGCTTATAAGCCATGTAACTATTGATGCTAGTATACTTCCCAGATAAAGCACAGTATTATAAAATAAACACAAAGTAATCAAATTGATAAATGATTTTGCAGACACTTGACAAGATTTTAGGGCATTACTGCTACAGGAAATGTTTTCACAAAAACAAAAAGCCTAGAAAACAGTGTAAACTTAGATTCCTGTTAGGTTAGAAGTTCTTGAGAGGAAGAAAGTCTAAAACTATGGGATTTTTCTTTATTATCTTTTTAAACAGACAATATACTCCATTATAGATTTTTTTAACAGATCATTTGGTGTTACAGAGAGTAACTTCTCAATTCATACAACACAGTGAGAGCTGGAGCAAAATTATATAAACTAAAGCTCAAAAACTCATGTGAGCTTTTGTTGTATTTAAACACCAAAGTCCTGTGGGCTTTTTCTAATTAAGAGACCAGTTGCTTTTAGTGGTTACACTAAAGTGTTATTTTCATCATAGCAAATCTCAACTCAAAGAAAAGGCATTTGCTGAAATCAATAAGTGTATTGTGTTTAGGAAAATGAACAGGCCTCAGGAGAACTGACCTTAGCTGTCTGAGGTGATCTCCTATTGATTTCTTAGCAGCCATTCCATATCCTGACCTGTCTAATATACCCCTAAATCCAGGGATGATAGAAAAGTTTATATAACAAGGCATTAAAATAAGAAAAGTGCTACTGTCTTCTAGGCTTTGCCATAAATAGAACATTAAAGGTCATACTTTCAACTTCACATATACCTAGCAATCACTGGAAGTAATAATAGTAATAGAACCTGAATAACACTGTTAACATTCTTGTTAATCTTCACGACAGCCCTATAGTTCAACGGATCAGTATCATCACCATCATTTTAAAGACATATGAAACAACACATAATCTGCAGGAGTCTTGAATGCTGCATCTTAAATTCATAGGTTTATCCTCAAACTGGCTATACCTTCCTGACTACTACTTCTTATATAGAAATTGCTTCTTTTTATATGAAAACAAATAAAAGTACTATTCAAACTCAAATGCTAAGAAAGTTGCATACTTTATTCACCATTGTATCTCCAAAATCCAGCACGTACCCAGAAAGTTGTAGGTGGTCATTAGATATTTGTGAAATAAATGAAGCAGGGAGGAGAATGCTTCCATATGTGACAACCCAACTTTAAACAACTCTAAGAGATTTTCTCTTATTACCATATTTGACCTGACTCCTTAGCTTCCAACCTAATAACATCTTACTACTCTGTCTTCTTTCAATATTTAATAAGTATTTGCATCACTTTACTTAATTATATTGTTTTTAATTTGAAAACTTTTACATTTCAAGTCCTCAAACTAAACTCTAAACATTGAAGATACCTTTTTTTCTTTTAAAATCCATCCTACTATATCTAGTGTAACCTGTCAGACACAACAGATAATCAATAATTCTGCCTCTAACAAATGAACTAAACATTTCTTTCTTTTTTAAAAATATTTTTCTGATTCCTAAAAAAAATGTAAAACATACAGTAAGTAAATGAAAAAAATAGCTTGTCCCCAAATACAAATAATGCATAGACCATCACATTTGGTTTATGACTTTAGCATTTATTCTATGTGCACATGTGTGTATGTGCTTGTATTATATATAAACAAACAAACACATAAATAAATAAAATAACAAAAATGAGATTGTGAAGGAACTCACTTCTAACATTGATAGTGGAAATGATAACAGTGTAGAGGGTTGGGAGTAGGGAGCAGAGGCTACAAGGTTGTTGACAGGTGTTCACTGTATTATCAGGGCTGAAACCTAAGAGATCAACTTATACGGAGGGATGCGTGGAACTAGATAAACT